TCAACATTGGTAGCATTCTGGTATACACATGGAATACCAATGGAGGATTATGGAAACTAACTCAAAATCCATAGTGTCTACTCACTAAACAAGGAATTGCACTGAAATGAAAATTTGAGACCAAATTAGGGGATTTTGAAAAAAAGTCTCCAAATCTGCTGTTTATACAACTGTAAAATTTGCAATTTTACAATTGTGCTAGTTGACTGAATTTGGTGATCACTACAGTAAACTTGGTGACAATTTTCCGACCTCTCTCCTTTTAGTCTAAATTTTGCAACTGTGTTATTGACTCACCACAACTCTTTATTTAGTGGCTAAATGCCCTGGTTAACAGAATAATACTTCTTATTAACCTGTGTAAAATTGAAACAGGAATATGAGGGAATACTTACATTCCAGTTGATTACTTCATAAGAATCTTTTTGTTACCTACCTGTGGGTACAGAGAAAGTCTAAGTCTTTTTCAAAACAGATCTTTGACTTAAATGCTATGATAACATTACTTGAAATATGATAAGTTAATGCACTGAACACAACAATAAAAAAAATGGAAAAGGATGTTGAGGGGTGTTCATTAACTGTAGAATTTTGGACCATTTTTATTTAATTTGTTACTTCTTGATAACTTGGAGGGGGCCTGCTTCATTCATATATTTATATATTTATTTTTATTCTGTTGGTCTCTGGCTGTATTTGTAACCTTTGAAAGCATTTGCTTTTTTCTCTAATTTCAAGAGGAAAACCCAATTTCAGAACTCGAAACTGCCTTCTAATGTCCATAATCAGTAGTAAGTCAAAGTCAGTTAGATGTTGAATACAAGGTGATTCAAGGTCAATTTAATGTTTAATAGTTGTCTGGATTCATATACTTTGTCCATGCTACTTTCTTAATACACTATAAATTGCCCCAAATCAACTTATCACATTTAGAGCAAGTCACCAAGTGTACTTCTAAATGTCTTTCATTAAATAACTTTTGGGTAAAATTCGAGGATATTCTCCTGAAACCATGAACTAAGAAATACATTCTGACCTTGAATAATACCAAATAGACATATTTTACAAAGACCTAACAATTCCTCCCATTCGCAGACATGCCAGTAACTTAGATCTGTGAAGATTCCAACCTACAAAGGGAATTTCCGATCTCCATTAAAGTCAACTTGGGGCAACTGAAAAGTGTTAATTCACTTAGTATTTTATTGTGATGACTATCTTAGTATATAACTCCCCATAAATTAATAACTGGAGATATTCACTAATTCAAGTCAGCAGCTAACTTGAGGGATCTTGCTTACAAAATGCATTCATGAGTATGCCCAAAGCTCAGTTTACAAGTTATTTTCAACAAATCCCAGAGTTCCGCTCCTCAATGAAACCCTCTAAATTTAGTTGAATACTCAATCTGGATATCTTTAAACTGTTAAAGGGATAGTTTAAGCACTATAATCACTACAGCACTCTGCAGATGCGGTTACAGGAATCCCACTTATGTGGTCCATTGGGTAAGAGTGAGACTTTTTAGAACAATTTAGAACTGTTGACTTGGTGGCTGTTTGGTCTCGTCCTCAGGTATAAGGAAATTGCACTCTGCCAATCAATTTAGTCCAAATAGAGACAAAATGTATAAATCTTGTATGGATAATTGTAGGACATATGTCTGACAATCTACAAAGTTCAACCTTTAAATGATAGAACCCCTAAATATTTTAACACTTGTGCAAGCACAATATTTTATTTATCATTCTGTTAAGAAAGTTCCATTTTATTTCAGTACTTATCTCGTACCTTATCCCTACAAAGCCTTGGTCGTGTGAAAATGTAGGTTTCAGGCCTTACAGCAATGTTATGGGGGGGATGCTTCCCAGTTTAGTATTGTTACACTTTGGTGTTAAATTGTTTAAGGCGAGAGAAAGGGGGGTGAAGGGTGCTTGTTTTAATCATGTAAGCTGCTCATTTGACAGTCTATCAGACTGGATAAATGTGCAACATGTGGTCTGTGTGGGTTTTTCAAGTTTCTTCAGTAGTTTTGTGTAAAACAGAGGATTGTTCTTGCAGAATAATAAATGACAAATAAACTGGAGTAATCCTCCAGTAGAAGCCATTGTCACATAAGCCCTCTTTAACAGGTGAACCTATTTTTTTGTTTTGAACTTATTATTGTGGAATGAGATCAAGTGTCTTGCTGCCTTCTTGGGTTTACTGAAACAAGGTCACCGATTTATTATTATTTACAGCAATATCAATAAAAGTTCCTCTGGGGCAATAAACTGGTCCAAATTTGCCTCTTTCAATTGAACTGGATACAAAAGCCCTTGCAAAATGATTGCGTTGAGAGCCTGCAACTTTGATCTCACTTTCTTTGAATTAACACAGCAATTAAGCAGATTTTGTTCAAAGTACAAACCCACTTGCTGGTGCTTTGCACTGATGTGATAATGTTTACACAGATGTGCTTTGAAATCACGATTATGGTGGATTTCAGATCCCACCACATAACAGAATCCTGTCATTTGAACGATAAATACTGTAACATATACCTGCTACAACTATCTCAATGACAACCTGGATATTTTTGGGGTGTCCTTGCTATTTACAGCTTTATAGCTGCAGGCATTATAATAGCACAATCACTAAATTGCCTTTTTTTTAGAGAAAGCACTTTATAGCTCAGGTGCACGATGTGGACTGAAATGTGTAACATTATCTGCTCTGAAACATCTGTCAATTCATTCTTATAACCACTTCATAGAAATATTGAAATGATCGTTCAGTCTATTTGATCTCACTGTTCCAGCCTCCACTGTGATCTGGGCTATTTTGATCTTGGGCAAATGACCCCCACTTTATTTTTATTTTTTTTATACACTGATATATTAAAGAGGATGGTGAGAAGGAAATTTGTGTATTTTAATGTGTGTGGATATATCTTTATATATCAGAATGAGGAATGTGAAGAGAGACATGACGTGTTCATTTACTTTTTTTAATTTTAGATTTATAATTAATGGGAGAGGGAGAATATTATATTAGTTCAACAGTAAATATTTTAGATTCAGCATTGATGAGATTGATATAGCTTCTTTTTATGTGAGCATATTTAATCTTCCCAAGTAATAACAGAACGACAGAGAGAGAGAGAGAGAGAGATGGTTGAGACAGGGACAAAGGGAGAGAGGCTACTTAAGGGGAAATAGAGCTGAGTTGGTTAACGTTAATACATCGTGTAACTAGAAAGGAAGTTAGAGAGACTGAGCGAGCGATAGAACAAGAGAAACTTGGATTTATTAATATACCTGTAATTAATCATATTTAAAATAAATAAAATAACGCTATATAGGGAGACGTGGGGGAGATGAGATAGAGATCCGGGGAGAAATTCAATGCGAGAGAAATGTATTAATCTACTTTATTTTATATTTAACCTAGATTAAAAAGAAAAGGAGAGAGAGTTGTTCTCAATTTCCTATAAAAACATTTTTACCGAGAGAGAGAGAGAGAATGTGTCATTTAATCATCATACTATCATACTATAATATGTATACGTGCTTCTAGGACCAGAAACCCACAATGGTCACGTCACCTCTTGACCCCTTGTCTATTAGAACCATATTTCATCTTCAATATGAGCAAGTTCTGAGCTAGCCAGTAACACTGCTAATTCAATAACTGGCAAAAATAAAATGTCATTTGATCCTGTACAACGCTCTGGGTGAGATGTAATACTGATATTAATCTCTGATTTCTGCTGTGATGAGCTCAGATGAGCACGGATTACATGGGCCTAATGGCAAGAATAGTGGCATTATGCTGAGCCCTTAGCATCTGCCTTTAAAGGTGTAAAGACTTCTTGGGGGTTATTCTCTAAACGGTGAATAGTCCTGAATAAAAAACCCCCCACAAATATGCAAAAGGTTCATCAAAATGTAAAAGATGGCTATATAGTAGGATTGTAAATTTGTGTCACTGTAGCAATTTTAATATTTTATCTTATTTTATATTAGCCCATTCGATTTTCAGTTCACCCTAAATCACTGTTTAGTTAATAACCCCGTATATACCACATCAAGTTTAGAAGGTTAAACCACTGCAGTAATAACATTATAATATTACAATATTCCTAATATAACAATGTTACACCAAGATGTCCTGTTTGGAATGCCCCCAATGCTTGCAAAATGTCTTTTTGTACAATTTACTAAAGGGGAGCACATGTTGAAGGTGGTATGACAAAATAGACACATGCACCTTGCAGGGCTTGTAGGGAGAGTTGAAATTGACTCAAGTTTTATTGCTGCTTTTAAATGAGAGTAAAAAGATCTGTGATCTCTGGCTTTTCCCGACAAGAACTCTCTTTGTAAATGTGTATCTGGGAAAGCCTGCACTGCAAGGCCCTCCCCTCGCCTCTCTCTACCTTTCCTTGCACCTGTCTAGGCTCTGCAAGCACCTCCTTGCATCCAAAGCAGGCTGCTCCCTCCTGCCACTGCCCCCCTCCAGGATCTGATCCCTGTAACACAGCAGGGGATCACTGCTCTAGTTTGCTCCAAGACTGACACCATTTCCTTGTCATCATCATCTTTTTTTTTTTTCTATAAAGTATTATATTTGAAAAAAAATGGCAATTGGCTTCAATCTAGAGAGACGTGAAAGAATGGACCATTATGGAGATCACCGTATGTGATAAATCTTACATCTGAATGGACCTGGACTGAATAGCAGCCACTTTACACCTCTCTAACAAAGAGACCGGCAAGGTGTGAAGAAGAAAGTTCTTTGTGATTCACTGTGTTAAAACTTGCCTCATTACCATATGTCAATTTGTCCAATACACGTTCTCCCCACTACATATACCTCTAGCTGGAGGACCTACTTCACTGCACTCCTAGGATATTGGGAACAACACTGGATGCTGCTATAGCCCACCTTGTCTCAGCATTCACCTGCGAGCTTCTTAGCTTTTGAAACTGTCTGGGGATATTCTTCTTGCCCTCTACACCATGGCTCCTGTGGCCGAAATGGGGACATTTTTGGCCGGCTTGGACACCTTGGGTCAGGTGGGCACTCAATACCTTCTCCCTCCAGTCAGGGAGAACCCTGTCTTCATCCACGACCTCCAGGGTCAGTCTGAGCGTCTGTCCCGCAGCGCTCCCTCGGACATGTCTCACCTCCAAGGCATCCTCCGCCGCCGCCAGCTCTACTGCAGGACCGGCTTCCACCTGCAGATCCTGCCCGATGGCAACGTCCAGGGCACCAGGAAGGACCACAACCGCTATGGTAAGTAATCTCTGCTGTCATGCATGTGTAATATCCGGGTTCACATTCATATTAGCACCTGTATGATAATAATGCACTCCACATAGTCAATTAGTCAATCCTTCACTTACCTGGCCTCCTCACTTTAATATACCTCTGCGCCCAAAAAAATCGAGATTTTATTTTTTTTATCCTTTATTTATTTTTTATTTTTTTCGAAATTCGAGAAAAGACTTTATGTGTAACGAGCAATAATGGGGTAACGTTCTTACGTTTAGGAATAAAACATTCTGGGGCAACGTTCTAAAAGTAAAAAAACAATCAGCGAGGACATTCTATTGGTTTCCATGGTGATTGCTCCAGTGTTAGAAATTTGCACTACAGTTGATTCTTGCATAGAATGCTTTTAGCTGTGAATATGGCTTTGTAGTGCACAGTATTCCAATTCTAGATTTAGAGATAAATAAAACAATTGCAGATTGTATTAAGCTAATCCGTGTCGTTTGAACTAGTGTGTTTTTATTTTAATGATTTGTGCTTAGTGTTGCTGTAGATAACATTTTTAAACAGAAGTATTTTAAATAGGATTATGATAAAATGGTAATATAGCACTCCTTGCTATCTTAATGTGTGAGATTTGCAAATTTTCTAAGGTCTAATATTGATTGTGACATGTGCTTCTTGCTAAAAGAGAGCTAACTGGCTGTTTTTCCAATATGCAGCAAGCTCCCTGATCAGACCTACTTACAGTAATGAGGTAGATAGAAAAACACATCTATTTGTGAGTTTTCACTAAACAGTGAATTGACAATGAGATTGCAAAATGTAAAATTAAAATATTTGTGCTGGAAAAATATTATTTGAATTGGATATTTTTTCAGCTTAATTATTTTGGCCTACGGTTTGTTATTTCAGTGTCAAAGTATGACAATTCGCAGTTTAGTGAATACGTTAGTGATAAAATGCAGATTTAGCTGCACATTCAATGCATGCCATACCAGATTATCCCACCTGCTAACAAACCCTCTGGAAATCCCAGTGGACTAATCCAGATATATTAATAATTTCCAGTTACATTGCTGGATTCTGTGATCACGGTCACTAGAAAGGTCACTGCCGCCTCTCCACAGAGCAGCATGTACCCAATAAGGGGCCACGCACTGCTGCACCCCAATCCTTGCACTGTCAACCAGAGTGTATGGCCAAGGATACTGGGAGTCATGTTGCTTGAAGCTCCCAGGTACTCTGCCTGTGATGGGTGCTGTCCCTTTAAATTACATTTCCACACAGTAAGAAAACAGACAGGGATGGAAATGCTTATCTGACAGGAAGAGTGAATAATGATCGGGCTATTTATTTAGTGTTGATTTATCTGAACAAACCAACTATTGTTGATAGTCTGTATCCCCCCACCCCTTTTTTTACCCTTTGATTTAGCTGCCGTAAAAGGTAGTTAAATGGTTTCCTAATAACCTTTCTCATAGTCAGGTCAATCGATACATTTTTTTTTTTAACTGTGCAGTTGCCAGAGTAGTGAGTAAAAACTGCCTCAGTACATCAACTATGGCAGTGAAAGGGTTAATCAACTCTGCAACACCGCTGTGGCACTGGAAACATAGGTGTAAAAGGTTTTATTAAAATGATCAGCCATTATCTATTCTATACTGTTACAATGTGCTAGTTGATGCAGAGCAAATTATCCCAATGCAGATGAATTCCTGAAGTCCTATAATAGGTTTATAACACATTTTTTTTCGAGCAAGATCAAACATAGTGTATGCCTCTTTCAGATGTTCCTCTTTTATTCCACCCCTATTCTCCTATTACTTCCCTGTGATGTGGTCTCTGCATGGACTGACTCACCTGCTTATTGTTATATATTTTTTAAGACTGTCTGTTCAAAAGACATTTTAATAAAGACTAAATACCAGTATATTCAATGGAAGAAGCACTGTTTACTATCCACACAAACACACAGCTAACAGTAATCTCTGGTTTGACTAATGCAATAATATGTGTGTTATTGTTATTTACATAGCATAGATATATTCTGCAGTGTTTGCAATATTTATGCAGTGTTTAGGGTAATGTTACCTTCCTATATGAATCTGCAAATCTTGGCCAAAATAGCAAAGTTGTAAGAGATCCCAGTCTAAAAACAGCTCAAATGATTTGCATGTCAATAATCAACTCACTGTTTAGTAAATCAATTAATTTAAAACAACTTGAAATTGCATGGTGCATTCATTTGCTTCCAATAGGTGTTGTAAAAATACAACTACAACTACAACTCCTGCAACCCCCAGCCAAAGGTTATTTAGACAGGGACGTTTTAAACTGTTAATGAAAATTAATGTTGCTGAAATATAAAAAAATATGTAGAAATATAAGTATATATGTAAAAATACAGATTGATAGCCATGGAATTGGACAATTGTTACAGTTTAACCACAGGCATTTTCAATGTCTGATAGACAGGATGCTGCTTTATAGCTTTGTGTCTGTACTGTATGCCCTATTCCTCTTCCTATGTAATTCAGATGGAATGTTAGCGGTTTTACTGCATTCATAAGACAAGCTTTCGAGAGTTTCAACATCTTTACTAAGATATAACATTTCTACACAGGTATTCTTGAATTCATCAGTATTGCAATTGGACTTGTGAGCATTAGAGGAGTAGACAGTGGACTATACCTTGGGATGAACGACAAAGGAGAACTCTATGGATCGGTAAGTAACAATTTATTTGTATTAAAATATTATCTTGGCCTTTTCGAATAATCCTTTAGATGTTATAGTTAGCCACTGGAGAGCCTTGCTCTGTAAAGCTGAGCAGGGAGTGTACCCTGTTTAAAGTTAATGGTTTATCAAAATTTATTTTATTTTACTTAGAAAGTATTTTACTTAGAACGTCAGCAGTGAGTGAATTGTGTGACCTGGATGCTGATTTGCTACATTTAAGCTACAATTTGTGAATCAAATCTCCCAGATAGTTGTGATATTACTTTCAACTCTGTTCTTTTGGGCTATATTGTGAAATAACTATAATTCTTTAATCAGAGTAGGGCTTGCCCAGTTTAGTTCAACTGAAATCTGGAAATAGAGTTAACCTCTCCAGATAGTGAATCGAGCCCTCAAGTTAAATTTGGGGTATTTAGAAATAGGGTTGCAGGTCTTAAACTGGCTATTGGGTTTTCTTTTGTGTATGTCAACAAAACATGTTTTCTTAATGTATTACTTCTTCTCATAGTTTTTGCTTTTTTTAATAGGATAAATTAACATCTGAATGCATCTTCCGAGAACATTTTGAAGAAAATTGGTATAATACGTATTCGTCCAACTTGTACAAGCACGCAGAATCTGGAAGAAGATTTTTTGTAGCTCTTAATAAAGATGGGTCTGCGAGAGATGGTGCTCGTTCAAAGAGGCATCAAAAATTCACACATTTCCTGCCTAGGCCAGTGGACCCTGAAAAGGTACCTGAACTCTACAAGGATATAATAGGAAATAGCTGATAATAAGTATACCCTACCAGAGGATCTATATTGAGTCGGGGCTGTTTGTGCAACAACAACAAGAAAATAAAGAACAAAATGAAGAATATTGAAAGGACTATAATCGCCGACTTTTTTCAAGCTCGTGATGAAGAAAGCTTGTTCTTTTGTTAGTAATCTCCTTTTAACTTCTGGATGAGAGTGCACTAGCTGATGGATAAGTGGATATTATTTTAGGATCCAGCATTTTTGCTTTTGGAATTCTATGGCCTTACATTAATTGGACCTATGATGATTAATTCCTACGCAAAGGACTGTCAAATGCTTAGGAACCGAAAATCTAAAGACAATATAATGAAATAATATGCATACTTACCACCACTGCGTGGACATGTGACATTTTTAAATGTCATCTGAAAACCAATCTTCAAATCAATTTAAACCTATTGTATATATAAATATATATGTATTTGTGTGCATTTGTGTGTGTGTATATATCTATTTATACGCACACACAAATGCACACACACACACTCACATACACACATGCATCCACATAGTTCTCAAGAGATGTAATTTGATATCTGTGATCTTAACATGCATATATATTTATTTTTTATACTTATTTATTTAAAAGGTCTATTTTTTACTGCTTTGATGGACAATCATGTAGCTTATAATGGGCTTAAAAAGGAATTTATGAACTTAAAGAGGAGCTGTCATGTTTGATAAGAACATGCCTAACACATGCAAGTACCTATTACAGTGGGTGACCAATTTATTCCACATATGTGTCACACGTGGCTGGGTCCATCTGTTCCGCATTGACGAAATGGATTGGACTCTAACTTGAAGCGTGGCGTTGTGGAATTCTTTTTTCGTTTTGTGTTTTCTAATGGAATAGTGATATCCCAGGACACTGCACCCAACATCTGCAAGAGAGTGTGGTGGTTACATTTTTTGCTTGATTAGACTGGAAACATGACAACTCTTCTTGAAGTAAGACCCCATAAAAACATGACTATATGATGTAATTCTCTCACTTCCAAAACCAAAGAAGAACTATGCAGTGCCTAGATTCTCTTTTTTTTTTTTTTCAGAGTACATAAAATGTGTTCTTTGGATTCTTTATATTCCAAATGGAAGTTTTTGAATTTACTTTCTGATGTATATGAATGCCTTAAAATTTGTAATGATCTACCAGCCCATTTCAAAGCAAATTAAATTTTTTTTATTTGAATTTAAATAATTTGTCTTCTTTTTTTTTTCCTTTTCAAATCATGCCTTACAGGTGTCAGCACTTGTAAATGATAAAATTAACCCTCTGAGTACAAGCATTGTGAACAACATGTAATCAACCCTTTAAAGTGCACTCCAAACACATGAAGCATTCAGCTAGCTTTGTGCAAACAGTGTGTCCTCTATTTTTCATTTTATAAAAGTGACAATTACAATAGAAATTTGTACTTTTATAAATTAACCCTGTAACATCTCCCTGGAGGTCAAATAAACAGCCGATCCTGTTACTTCCTGGTATTTTAGCTCAGTGGAGCTAATCTTGAGAGGCAGTCAATTGCCCAGAGTGCCCAGAGTAGACTTATCAATGGGCTGTCATATAGCTCATTAAGAAGTGTGTGATTGCACAGCTATAGAATGTTTGTGTTAGGGAAGAAGGGGAGGGCTTGCAATAGCTGCAGGTGCTTGATCTGCAGCTATTGCAAGCCAAAATTTAAAATACACACATAGAAAACATGCATTTTATTTTGGGGGTATATCTACTAGACCGTTATTTATTTTATTGTATTTTTTTTAATGGAATGTTCCATTAATAGCTGGCTATGATGAGCTCACAAATTTTTACAAAACACATGCCAACATACACAGCTTGAAAAAACAAACATGCAATAAAATAAAATAAATAAATAAAATCTCCAGCTTTGTGAACTGGTTTTTAATTTATGATAGCTTACTATATATTACTGTCATTTTAGTGGTGTCCTAAACCTCTTACCTGACTCCATTAATGTGGCTTTGTCATTTCAGTCAATGTTAAAGCACATTATTATTTTTTTTATATCTTTTGAAAGATAAGGTTGGGACTTGGCAGCACATCTGGTACGTTGTCAGGGGGTTTGTTTTGGCCAGGATATCAGTTAAGGTAACTAGACCTGTAACATATGCATGGAGATATCACATCCTGTGAAACGGAGTTGATATTAAAAAAAACTTAGATGGTTATAAAACATAAAGGTCCAAATGTTATTTAACAGTTACCTAAACATTTTATTTTCAAAATTCCTCTCAATATATGTTCATACAGATTTCCACTGGTATATTGCTCTGTCTACTTAAAGTATCTGCAGTTTAGTGGGGAATTATCACAAGTATGTCACATGCTGGTATTTTGTTCATGTACCATTTAACCATTTAGTTTAATATGACAGGTATTTTAAAACCAGACCAAAAGGCATAGCCACTTATAATAAACATGGAATTCATACGGAATTTTGAAATTTTGACCAGAATGGTCCAATGTAAATTTATCTCAAATAGGGATATGTTTCCAGTTTGCCTTGTATGTATTAGAATTTGAAATCCTTCATAATTCACACTCTAGTGAATATCCCTGAAAATGTGTTGTCTAAATTCGAAAAGGTTTTCAGCCACATGCTTAGTTAAATGGTCACTGTAGCCACTGTAAAGACTTCATCTCAAAGAAATAGTTCTAGTGCCTGGAGTCTCCTTGCACCATACTTCCCCTCCTTGTTAAACTGTTTGTAATGTTTTTGTGCTAAAAAAGAGTCCCCACCAGCCCATTCTCTCTCTGCTGCTTCAGCTGAGTAAGAATTAGACCAGGGTTCCCCAAACTCCGGCCCTCCAGAAGTTGCTGAACTACAACTCCCATGATTCTCAGCCTATCTATTTCATTAATAGATTCATGGGAGTTGTAGTTCAGCAACATCTGGAGGGCCAGAGTTTGGGGAAGCCTGAATTAGACTGATCAAGAATTGGCATTGGGTGATTGGCTGAGAGTGTCAGCTGACTACATTTTGCCTATCTCAGTGCTCATTGCTGATATGAATTGGTATGGCTAGAAGGGAGTGTGTAATCTCTGCCTTAGTCATACCTCCAGTAGAGGCAGGGCTGTGGGTGTCCAGGGATTCTTATTTCGTGTTAAATTGTTTGAAAATGGTTTAAGGGACAGTGTTAGGCGACTCTGGAACCAATGCAATACAGTGTCCTTTAACCCCTTCCCGACCACGGATGTATAAGGTACATCCGACAAAAAACGGTCCTTCAGGACTTCCGACATTCCTGATATGTCCGCGGCTATTTTGAGCGCTTCGCTTTCAGCCACTCTGATAGTATTGCAGCAATGCCACAATGTTGAGGCACTGTGCAATAATGTTTATTTCTGCTGGGCACCTGGAGAGCACCGGGTGATCGCTCCCCCGGAGCGACCACTTCCAGGTTGCTCCACGTGGCGCCCAGCAGTTAAGCAGAGCATCGGAAGCCATCAGGAAGGCTTCCGATGCTCTGCATGTGCTTAGTGCCTCGAGGGGTCGAGGCACTCAGCGAAGATATACTAATATATAAAAATAAATAAAATAATCAATATTAACCCCCCTCCCTCCCACAGCCATGTGACTCCTAAGATGGTGCTGCCTTTCTAAAGGCAGTGCATCATGAGTCTTCTGGGGGTGTCCCTAGCCTGCCTCATCATAGGAGCAGACTAGGGTCATCCAATTACAGCTTGCCCCAATAACAATTTTGTTCCAAGTATGTTCCCCATTTGTCTGATCAGTATGGATCTCCCTCCCTCTCTTCACTTGTGTTTTAGTGAGAGTGGGAGAGAGATCTGTGTTTTAGCTAGAGAGATTTAGAGAGATTTAAAGATTTAGGTAGGGATTTGTAAAATCTTGAGACCCAAAGGCTCTTTTCAGAGCCATTAACCCCTATCCTGCCAGTGATCACTGTATAGATCACAGGCTCTTGCACAGCAGCACTTATTTTGCTGTTTGTGCATTTTTTTAGGGGTTAATTTTTTTTAGTGTTTTTTTTTGTGACCGATCACTAAGTAAAGTGATTGTGATCATGTCACAGGGGTCACAGAGGTCATATAGCGCTGAGCAGGCATATTCCATCCTTGCGCTAGAGTCTGACGCGTCTATGTCAGACTCCGACCCTAATTTTGATCCTGCCAGGTGCTCAGATACATTATCACTAGATACAGTGTCTGCTGTTAGTGATGTATCTAGTTATGTTGTATCTGTGCCTGCTAGTCCCCCTGCCAGAAGGAGACGTGCTGCTCCAGCTGGCAGTACTGCTGAGGAGTGGGTAGTGCCTCATAGCCAGAGGCCAGATATCCCACCCTTTACTGCAAATCCTGGCATCAATTTGGATGTCGCAGGATTTAGCCCTCAGCAGTTTATGGAGGTGTTACTGGGCGATGATGATGTAATTTATATGCCGATCAATTCCATGCTGCAAAGTCTGACTCTTTTTTGGAAAAGCAGCAATGGGCCCCGATCGATGTGCCAGAATTTAAAAGATTCTGGGCATTGACTATGCTGATGGGTATCATAAAGAAGCCCTCCATTCGCTCCTGGTTTGCAGAGGCTTATACACCTGGAAGGAATGTATGCGTGGATGAATCCCTGATGAAGTATAAGGGAAGGCTGAGATTCAAGCAGTATATTCCTTCCAAGTGCTCTAGGTATGGTGTAAAGGTGTATAAGCTATGTGATAGCGAGACTGGGTATACTCAGGCCTTCCGCGTGTATGAGGGAAAGGTTAGCCACTGTGACCCTCCAGGTTGCGCACTGGCAAGATTATCTGGGACCTGATATTCCCCCTGATGAACAAAGGGTACCACTTGTATACTGACAATTTTTATACAAGTGTCCCTTTGTTCAAGCTACTGTACTGTTTTGATACAGTAGCTTGCGGTACAATCAAAAAGAACAGCGCAGGTTTCCCAGGACAACTTGCACGCACCCGGCTACGAAGGGGGGAGACTCAGCTCTGCGCCAAGAGGAGCTGTTGGCAGTTAAGTACAGAGACAAGAAGGATGTATACCTTCTTACCACCATCCACACTGAGGGGACTGTGGAGGTCTCTGTACGTGGCAGAGCTGAGAGCACAAGGAAGCCAGTGTGCATCAAGGCCTATAACCGGCATGCTGCAGCCCTACCTAATTATATGCAAGACAAGGGCCTGGTACAAAAAGGTTGCAGTCTACCTATTACAGTTTCAGCTCCAGATCATTTTGGGGATTTTGTACCGTGATGCAAGTGCTCCCCGGGCGGTGATGGGAGAGATGGCAGAGTTGGGGCCACACATTTTATTTTTAAAATTCCCCTACTGCGGCAAATGCAGAATCCCCCAAAAAGATGCAGAGTCTGTTTTAAGAGGGGGCAGAAAAAAGATACTGTATATCACTGTCCTGATTGCCCTGGACAGCCTGGACTCTGCATTGGGGACTGCTTCAAATGATACCACACACTGGTCAATTTTAAAAAAAAATTCACATTTGCCATTCAGTATTTTTTGAGTTTTTTTTTTTTGTTATGTTTACCCTATGCATGGGGGGCATGGGTGTACTAAGGAGACCTTACAGAAAACAACCTGGACTGGTTTCTTGCAATAACCAACAACAGGCTCTCCTAAATCACAGTAAAAAAGCAATGTGTGTGTAAAAATGAAAATTGAAAAATTACCACCACACACTTTCTCCAATTTTTTAACTAAAAGGATTGCATCAAAGGCATCAAAACACCCCATAAACAATACCGTGGGGTGTCAACTTTTCAAATATATGAAACAGATTAACAAAAAAAACAAAAAAACTTTTCAAATATATGCACACTCATGGCAAGAAAATAAATTGGGATATCTGAAAAGGCCCCCAAAAAGAAGATAGGC